TCCCGCGCTCCCCCCCCCTAAAAAAAACAAAACAAAAAAACAAAACAGGGGCTGCTGCCACCCTGCGCTGCTGCCTTTGTATCAGAGGTAGCAGCACAGGGTGACAGGCAGCCGGTTTTTAAACTGGCTCCCATTGGGAACCAGCTCCTGCCTAGCACCCCAACGCTGCTGCCTCAGATCCAGATTCAGAAGTGCAGAGTAGGAGAGGCTCCTCAGGAGCGGGGCTGGAGTGCACTGGCTGCTGACCCCATCCCTGGGGATTACAGAATAGTTGAGCAACTGATAAGTATTCATGAGTTGAATAATCGATTCAAGAACTGAATAATCTACTTACTATTCAATTAACCAATATTTAACATCCCTAGTACAGAACACCATATTGTGGCTTTTCAGATATCTTGCTACAGAACAGCTAACAAAGAAAGAAATGGTGTGTGCTCACACAGCACGAGCCAACACCCCCTAGAGAGTGGGAGGGAGCTGATATTTCGTAGTGTACCACTATGAGGTCTGAGACCCACTTAGATCATCTGCAAAGTTAGGACTTGGCCCCTTGATCTTGCTGCCATGGCCACAGAACCACTTGGTGGCTTTCAAAAGGATTTAGTTGTTTGTAGGTAGAACATCAAGGACCACTCAACACTGAGGGAGTGTAATCTCTTGTCTGTGGAGAAATGTGTGGTTTTGGGCAGAACACAGATAAGTAGATAAACTGGTTGAGATGGAATTCTGACAACCTTGGGGTGTAGTCTCAATGAAATTTTCTTTGAGGAAGACCAGTCAATGAGGGTATACCTTCATGGCTGCTACTAAAGTGCATTAGGAGCCAGGTAGGCAGCTTGGTTCAGACTTTTGCTGGCCCCTACTTCTGCATTTATCGTGCCAGAGTGGGGAAGGAGCCATGACAGGGGGTGAAGTAGACACCTCAGGATTGGGGTCAGGAAACCGCCCAGGGCAGCCGACTAGGCCCACTCATGTTGTCAAGGGGGGCTTTGGGAGGACCAGAAACAATTTATTTTCATATTCATCATTTGCTTAATGAATATGCAAATAAATATTACCAGTCCTCCAAAAGCTTGTGAATGGGTTTACTGGTCCCCAGTATCAAAAAGATTCAGAACCACTGGTCTAGTCGATTAACTGATAAGCTTTTGCTCATCGGTTAATGCGATAGACTACACGCATTTCCCTCTCCCTGCCAGTAAATTTTTTAGAAGGCTGGCCAGAAGCCTGGCTCAGTCCTGACTTGCGATAGGTCTGTGACCTACCCCTGCTGCGGCTCTGCATTAAAAGTGTATTAGGAGCCGGGCGAGCAGGCAGCCCAGCTCAGTCTTGGCTCATGTCAGGTCTGGGAGCTCAGATCCGCCCTAAACAGGGACTACTGCCACCCAGTGCTGCTGCCTCTTTCTTAGAAGCAGCAGCACAGGGCAACGGGCAGCCGGTTTTTAAACTGGCTCCCATTGGGAACCAGCTCCTGCCTAGCACCCCAACGCTGCTGCCTCAGATCCAGATTCAGAAGTGCAGAGTAGGAGAGGCTCCTCAGGAGCGGGGCTGGAGTGCACTGGCTGCTGGCCCCATCCCTGGGGACTACAGAATAGTTGAGCAACTGATAAGTATTCATGAGTTGAATAATCGATTCAAGAATTGAATAATCTACTTACTATTCAATTAACCAATATTTAACATCCCTAGTACAGAACACCATATTGTGGCTTTTCAGATATCTTGCTACAGAACAGCTAACAAAGAAAGAAATGGTGTGTGCTCACACAGCACGAGCCAACACCCCCCAGAGAGTGGGAGGGAGCTGATATTTCATAGTGTACCACTATGAGGTCTGAGACCCACTTAGATCATCTGCAAAGTTAGGACTTGGCCCCTTGATCTTGCTGCCATGGCCACAGAACCACTTGGTGGCTTTCAAAAGGATTTAGTTGTTTGTAGGTAGAACATCAAGGACCACTCAACACTGAGGGAGTGTAATCTCTTGTCTGTGGAGAAATGTGTGGTTTTGGGCAGAACACAGATAAGTAGATAAACTGGTTGAGATGGAATTCTGACAACCTTGGGGTGTAGTCTCAATGAAATTTTCTTTGAGGAAGACCAGTCAATGAGGGTATACCTTCATGGCTGCTACTTCACTGATCCTTTCTGGTTTAAACCAGAAACAGAAACCAGGA